CTCTTTCAATTTTGTTTTCACAGCAGGCATCTCCACAAATGATCTTTGCCTAAAACACTGGAATCCTGAAAAACTGGATCCTTGAACGTCTGTGTAACTGACATCCTAGGCCCAGGGTGAATTAAAAAGATTGCATTATTTTTAATCTGCTGTAAGTGGATTTTGATTTGTTTTAGTGGGATGGACACAAACTAAGAACTAAGATGCTTTTGGGGTTGCCATGCTGTTATTAAATAGTGGCAAAAGACACTTGAGCTCGTCATAAGATAATGTTTCTTCATTATGTGTCTGGAGATCTGAAGTGCTCAGAAGCCAGTTTAGCCATTTTTGTCTGAATGACAGGTAGAAACTCAATAGCCTGACAAGTCATTATTGAAGGAATGTAAAAGGATTTGAAGGAAAGTAAGGAGTTAACGTCATGTTTGTTTAGCGTGTAGGAAGCCAGGTGATGCTAGACTGCTGCAGTTATGCTAGCAGGTTCAAACTAATACTGAACACGGTCTTTATTAGTTAGCTAGGTGTTTAGCCACAGTCTCAGGTGTTCATGGCAGAGCTAAGGCTCAAAGCAATGTTTTTGATGCAAACATGAGTGAAACCGTTTTAGATGTATTTCATGGGTGACATGTAAGTTGACTACAGATTTTGAAAGGTGTAGAAAATGCCAGAAGACAGAGCGTGTGTATCTTGCTTCTTCTTTTTTTTTTTTTTCCAGGCCATGGTTCAAGTGAGAAGAGTTTACCAACTCCTGCTCCTGAAACCACCTGATTGTTGTCATGTGGGGACGTTTCCACCTGACACACAAATAATGAAGTACCAGTGATCTTTACAGTCCATTGTTTATTGTAGTTCACGAATTAAAACATCTGCAGTTTTTCTTTCTAGTCTGTGTAGAGCAGTGGTGATTTCAGGAAGGGTGATGGACTCCAAACAAGTTTCCAAATGGGGACCTCCTTTCATAGGACAGCGCACGCTCAGTTCAGAATGCCCTAAATCGTGGACTTCTGTGAGGTAGATGCATCTTCTCTTAGCCTCACAGTAGTCCCTACAGTAGTCTCGCCAGGCTTCCTCTCGATATATTGCTACATGCTTCGTTTGGGTGAAATTCGCATTGATTTGCAGTTGAAATAAGCAGCAGTAAGAAAGACATTCACATCATGTTCTCCACACTGTCAGATGAAAACTTGTTTTGCTAATATGTTGTCTCTTATTGCAGTTGTCACTACTTTTTCATTTTTGTTTGAAGCTTTGTAAGCTAATGAGTTTGCATTCCTACAGTGTTGGGTGTTGATGTGTGTGGGTGGGTGCATGTGTGTGGAAAATGCTAATTGTTCTGAATTTCATATTTATTTTTTAGAAAAGGGTTTTAAATAATAATAAATAAAAAAAAGGTACAAAAGATGTCCTTAATTTTCTGGCAGGGAGGGACTTTACACCTATAGATGTTGATGGTAATGGAAAATAATGTTGTGATCTGTAGGTTTTCTGTTTTTGGTCATGTGCACCTTTTGCATTAGCTAATGATGCTAAAAGTATTTTTCAAGAGAAAAAAAAATTCACAAGTAAGGTGTATTTGTTGTTTGCCTCAGTGACTAAGGAGTAATCTAATTATTTATCTGTCCTAACCTTCTCTTTCCTGGTTTTGCATCAGATATTTCCATGTTGCCGGCAACATTGCCATTCTTAAGGTGCCTCTAGTGAACGTGTGGGAATCTTAACAGCTCTCTCATTGTGTGTTTCCTCTATCTTCAGGTTTGTGGAAACCTTAAAACCATTATATAATTTCAGAATCATCTGAAAACTAACATAACCCTTATACTATACAATATCATCCATATCATCTTGTTTTGTTTTTGTTTTGTTTGGGGGGGGTTTTGTCCTCTGTGGCCTTTAGCTAAACTCATCAACATTGTTACCAAATATTAGCACTTCCAGTGTTTCAGTTTTTGTGAAGTTTGTCATTTTGAATTCTCTGTGTCAAATGCAGTGTGCCATTAGGGTAACATATGAATTGTTAATGAATATTCAAATCAGGATGCCTGTTTCAGTGTGGCCACGATGTAAGAATGCAGTGTTTTCAAGTGTTTGATAGTGATGATGATGGTGATGATGATGATGATATAGGTCAGTTTTTGTTTAAACAGTAGATTCAAAGTTGTGTTAGGTTTAGGTGTACCTAATAAACAGCTAACTGAACGTGTATAAAGAAACAGGCAGGTAACATTTGATCCAAGCTATACTTATGACACTATCAATATCTATAATAACAACAAAAGAAAAAGGTGGTCATTTAAAAGGTGTTTTTCCATGTGTTGATCTTGGTGTTGTTCACAGAAAGCTTTTAAAAGTTGTTGTGGTTTAAGAGAGTGACAGCAAACTAACTCCAACCCTGGTTTAGTCCCTGATCAAAGTGCTTTTAATGGGAACTGGCTAATCCAGCAACCTAACAATCACTATTTTTTTTACAAAAGTTATTTTTGTCGCTACATTCTGGGTTAAAAAAAATACTGGTTTGTACTTGTCAATTAATAATGGACCCCGATTTGCCCTTTTGTATCAAAATTTCCATCAAAAAATAAAATTAAACTTCTGTTTTCAAGGTTTTGCACCACATCTTGTCTGTCTGTAATACAAAAATGACTGAAGTGTGAAAAATATGGAACCCCATTTACCCACTTTGCATTCATTTACTGTAACTTATTATAATTAAATACTATAAGAGCCACACTTGTAAGAAAGGCTTCCAGTGATTTTACAGTTTCTTTCCACTTGTTTGGAAACCACCAGGAATCCACACAGTATTATTCATGCACCCTGGACAAGTCCGTCACAGGGCGGACACACAGACAATCATTTAGAGTCACCAGTTAACTTAACCTAACATGCAAACTCCACATAGAAAGTTCCTGGTCAGCAGCAAAATTTGAGCCCAGCACCTTCTTGCTGTGAGGCAACAACTACTGCAGCACCATGCCGCCCCAGAATAGATGTGAGTAAATGAAGTGATGTGCAAATATATGTAAAACATTTGTGGGCTGCTCAGTCTGATGGTTTGTGGGTTCTAATATAAAACTGTATCAGTAAATAGCTGCAGTTTGTAGCCTACAGATTGAGACAATGTGCTGCTGGCTGCAGATATGCAAAAATACCCCACACCCCTCTGACATAGAAGCAAGACCCCCAGACTGTCATTTGGCCATTTTGTTCCTCGTGGTTGTTTTGCATCTCTTGGCATACATTTTGTGTCTCTTTCCAGTTGTATTGTGTCTTGTATGCACATTTCTTGTATTAGAGGAAATATATAACACCTTATCTTACAATTATTATTCTTATATTATTATCTTTACTAGAAAAATGATCATAAGAAATTCACTGACAGAAATAAGAACTCCTTTTCAGCAGTACTCCTGCAAGTAAACACACTGTGGCTTCTGCCACTAGAGGGAGCCCCTCGCCCAGAACACAGGGCATCCCGTAATGGCAGTGCATAATACTGTGTGTGGCAGTGAACCAGCAGATACAGGCCACTGTGTGCTAGGAGAAATATTATTTTAGGGGATATCAGTGTGTGTGTGTGCATGCGGATCACTTGCAACTCTTTGTTGGAAAAAGCTGTGCGTTGATGGTTTCTCTCCCATTCACTGGAAAGGTGTGCATGCAGGGTCTTCTAGATAAAGAAACATGTTTGATTATTCAAAGAAGGTATAAAATGAGTTTCCTGTTAGTGCTGAGTAGTAAATAAGTGACATTTTGAAAATCACTGCTTATAATCTTCTATATAGGTTGATTGTAGGGATAGCATTTAAAATGAGCTTTTTGTTAACACTGGCATTTTGTTTAGCCTTACTAATAAAATGTCGAAGCCAAAGGTTCTTTTTCATGTGTTTTTACTCAGATCTAAGGTGGACCGGGCCACGCTGGCTGTTTGGCTCCTTCCAGCTGCAGACTGTAGAAGGCAAAGCAGACGCACAACTGCCAGTGTGTTACTGTAACTGCAGTGTGAGGTATGAGCGACCACCCTCAGCTCACGCCATGAGAAAAGTATGACTTTAATACATTTGTAAGCTTCACAGTTTCCCCTAAAGTGCCTTTGGTAGTTGACCTACAAGTGATTAATATTAGTGTGAGCGTGCTGTCATTTGTTGTAATTAACTAACTGTTAATGCTGTATGTCCTAAAAGAAGGAGATGGACACAAGAAGAATTTTATGAAGCATCAGTACTTAAATAGTTTAAGTGTAACACTAGCCGCGTGTTGAGAATATGAACTTTCTTTAATTAAATAACACCAATCAACATTGTTGTCTAGCTCACCTGCCATTACCCACCCAGAAGAAAGTCCTGCACTCACTTGAGCTTGTTCATTATTCCTATTAAATACAACACTGGACAGTGTCATGATAATTAAAGTGCTAATAATTAATCTGTCAATTAATTTTAGTGTAGAGTTACTGATAGGGAGCAGTTTGATGATAAACATAGCAGCTCAAGCAGATGATCACTGATTCAGTGTGAACATGAACAGATGCAGAGGTAGCTATACATGATGTTTGTTTCTGAATGTTTCATTTTAATAGGAACACGTACAGTAATGATTTGAGCAAAGATAGCAGGAGGCTCAGATGGAGCCACAGGATCTCAGGTGAGATCTCACTGTGGCTTAGTGATAATATCCAAGAGTGAAAAGGTATGAAGATAAGCTTGACTTTTGTCTGAGGCTTCATCATGTCACTTTATTACCTTCAGGAAACACTGCAGAGCAGCCATCAGTCTGGAACAGAGGACAGCAGGCTCTGCCACTCGAGGCAGAAGAAGTGGTCGTGTGGGTTTCTGTGATTTTACAGTGAAAACAAAAATACATGTCATAGTTATTCGGATAATGGGGTGGATTTTGTGATACCCAAAGGCAGATGGCAAGGGAACAGTTACAGTATATTAGTTACACCTGAAAGAAGCTTTTTGGACTCTAAGCCCATGGTCTAATTACA